GTATGGATTGCGATAAGTTGTATGAGCCCCTAATAAAATGTTTTTAAAAAAAAAGGAGTGGAGTGCATCCTCTGGACCCCAAGATCCCTGTACATGGAACTCCCTCCATCCAGGAGAGCAAGCAAGCTGTGACCGGAGTGGCAGTTGCAGACATAGGAGCATGAGGCGGTGGTAGGCTTCCAAGCCCATGGAGAGAGTTAGCTGAGTGCTTGTGGGTGGAAGGCTACCTCCTGGCTTTTAATTGGGAGAGCTAGGCTTACTGATTCACAGAGAGAGCGCTAAGGACAGAGTACAGCGGGATCTTTGGAGTGTGTGTTACCAGCACTCAAAAAGCTTTGTAACATTGCCTGAGTAGGGCAGAGGGCAAGGGCTGCATGGCTGAAAACAGGCTGTTTCTACTGTATTCTGTATTCTGAGCATATCTGATCCTGAATTGTAACTTCTCAACTGCCCTAATAACCCTATACTAATGAGTATGGTCTGATTGTGTGACCACTACAATGAATTATTAAACCCAACCGAGAAGAGTGACTTGGGAGTGTCAATTAGGAGGTTAGAGGGTCGATGTAGGTGTGACCTCTCAGGAATCAGCCTCGGGCTAAGTTGTCCTTCTTAAGCATGAAGTCAGAGGTCAGACACCACGCCATACTATTCTTCCAAGACATACTATCCTTCCAGGTTGAACAGTGGTGGCAAGGCAGGTAGAATCATGCCCACAAATATATATACGTGCATACACACATTTGACAAAGGCAACATTTCTATATATTATGTGCATATGTTCTTGAATATAGTGGAGCATACATACAGGGGCAAAGTTATAGAAACCTAAGACATAATCAAACAAAAAGTGAAAAGAATCAAAGTCACAAGGCAACAGTTCAAAGAATGAATGGACCACGTGGACCTGTTTCCCTGACCCTGAGACCAGAACTTGAGTGTGCCCAGGTACCACTGCTGACTGCTCTGAAAGGAATCACAGTATGGAAAAGGTCTTGTTTGGATACTAAAATCCACTCACTGCCACCAAGTGGAGGCCGACTCATAGCAACCCTTTAGGACATGGGAGAACCTCCACGGAGTGTTACCGACACCGTAACTCTTTCCGGGAGTAAAAGCCCGTCTTTCTTCTGCAGAGTGGCCAGGGGTTTAGAACTGTTGACACAATGCAGTTAGCAACCCAACTAAGCCACCAGGGCTCCTTCTTGCTCAGAGTGAGGAAAATATAGAAAAAAGCTCAGTCATTAAAAACAGACCAGACTCACTGATTGGAATAGACAGTTGAATATTAGACTATGGCCCTTACCCACCCTCTCAACCAGGAACTGAGTGCACTCCCATAACTTAACCTCCAGCTAAACAGTTTAGACAGGTCAATAAGGTAAATAACCACCATGGAGGCACACATCCCCTAGAACAATCATGTAGGTATTTGCCCAGGGATAAAGCTCAGAAGACAGGAAGGGACAGAAAAGAATGACCGGGAACTGTAAGTACAGGAAGTGGGAGCGTGCTGTGACATTGTGGGGATTACAACAGTTGTCATGAATCAAGAATGTTAACGAATTGTTAAATGGAAAACCAATTGGCTCTGTAAACTTTTGCCCAAATCACAATTTAAAAAAAAATTTTTTTAAGGAAAAACTTCTCTGTATCCTTCTTGCAAATGGTCACATTAAAATTTTTTAATTTCGGGAATATGGCTTTAAGGTACAGAGAAAATATGAGGCAATCTGCAAATCACGTTTCAAACATATACTGACATATTTTCTTCACATTTCCTGTATTTTCCAAAAGGATTATAGGAGTCTTAAATTTGCCCATGTCTCTTATCCACCGGGCAAGTACACTTCAAACATACTTGACACACATAATTTTCAGCAACAGGGACATCTACTCACTCTCGTTCTCTGGAGAATCAAATAGAAGAAAATTCTCCCTCAATCAGTCTGGAAGCAGGAGGATGAAAAAAACCTTAACAAAACCAAAACACCCCCAAACCCACTGCTGTCCTGTTAATTCCTTCTCATCGTGACCCTGGAGGGACAGAGTAGAATTGTCCCAGTTTCCAAGGCGACCTTTTCATGTCACCCGCCTGACGGCTTAGAACCACCATTTAGTTCGCAGGGCATCACTGTGCCATCAGAAATCATTTAAAAGGTTTTTGATAACCCTAAGAATGACATCGGCCTATATAACTTGTGTAAGAAAACAATTCCCATCTAGCTCAGAAACATCAAAGCCCACATGGAAGAAGCACACCAGCCTGTGTGGTCACGAGATGTCAATGGGATCAGGTATCAGGCAAAGAACAAAAAATCTTATTGTTAAGGTGGGTGAGTGCAGAGTGGAGACCCAAAGCCCACCTGGACACCCCCTTACTGAAGGGTCACGGAGATGAGCCAGTCAGCTTGCAGGGTAGCAATGATGAAACATACTTTCCTCCAGTTCTTAAAATACTTCCTCCCGCACTATCATTCCAATTCTACCATACAAATCTGGCTAGACCAGAGGACGGACGTACATTGGTACAGGTAAGAACTGGAAACACAGGGAATCCAGGACAGATGATCCCTTCAGGACCAGTGGTAAGAGTGGTGATACCTGGAGGGTGGAGGGAAGGTGGGGTAGAGGGGGAGAACTGATTACAGGGATCTACATATAACTTCCTCCCTGGGGGACAGACAACAGAAAAGTCGGTGAAGGGAGACGTCGAATTGTGTAAAATATGACAAATGGGGAGGGAGGGGGAAAATGAGGAGCTAATATTAAGGGCTCAAGTAGGAAGCAAACGTTTTGAGGATGATGAGGGCAACAAATGTACAAATGTGCTTGACACAATGGATGTATGTATAGATTGTGGTTAAGAATTACACGAGTGCTTGCTTCGGCGGCACATATACTAAAATTGGAACGATACAGAGAAGATTAGCATGGCCCCTGCGCAAGGATGACACGCAAATTCGTGAAGCGTTCCATATTTAAAAAAAAAAAAAAAAAGAATTACACGAGCCCCCAACAAAATGTTTAAAAAAAACAAAACAATTCCATCATCTAATGTCCATTCCAACTTCCAATTCCCCAATTTGTCACAGGAACTCCTTTGTTGAACCAAGACACAAATGGATTCAATTACTTCTTTAATTTCCTAAAATCTAAAACCACCTCCATTTTAATGACATCGATATGCAGCTAGCTGAGTTAAGGGCTAATCCACATTCTGTAATGGTCTGATTATTTCCCTTTTAATGGAGTTTGTTCATTCTGATCACCTCATATTGAGTTAGCCAAGGTTTCTGGCACAGTACTGTTGTGTTCATGATCATATCATAGATAGTCCCATCAGTGATAAAATATTTGATCAGTTAGGATGGTGACAGCCAGATCGGTCCCCTCTGAAATTTTCTCCTTTAACCTAATGGTTTTGGGATCCCCTGATGACCTTTGCCTCATCAGCTATTTCATTAAGTGCACATGTTCTATTTTAGAAATGCCGAATCTCCTCGTGATACATCCTGAGCAATGATCTTTCTAGTTAAACATGAGTACCCACGAGGCTGCGAGGCTGCTGGTCATCATTGTATTTCAGTGGCAAATGGAGCTGCTAGACTGGAGAACTGACAAGGAAAGGTCCTTAACAAGTTCCCCTCCCCACAAAACTATTACCTCAGATCTAAAGAATCTCCATAGTCCAGAGACTTGAAAGCAGTGGGGCTTGGCTATCTAGTCAAACAAATCAGATCAGCCCGTTGGTGTTGGTAAAACTTTAATTTATAAAAGGAGGAAAATGGATGGAAATTGTTAGAAAAGGTAGTATGGATACGGCAAAAATGAAAACTACTGATGTGGCTTAATGAAAAGGGGAAGTACATCTAAAGAATGCACTAACACTGTGTACATTCAAAGGGGAAGGCGAAAAATCCAAAGAATTCAAAATGCCATTCATGCATTGTTGAGTATGTCTACAAAGCAGGATGAGGTGTAAAGAACGGAGAATTCAGAACCCCAAACTTACTCCAGGGCACTAAAGTCTAAGGTATATAGTTTGGTAAATGAGAAGTTTTTTTCTGGAGGAAGATGAATCTCCATCTAAATATCTCAAGGCAGAGTGAACATCAACAGGCGAATTTGTGGGTGGGGATCAGATTGCTGTAATCAGAAGGCTGGCTCTATTCTGGAGACTTCAAGCAGCACGAGGGCCTAGTCTTACTCAAACCGATGCAACGAGAGCTGCTATTGCAGGCCGAATGTACAAACAACATAAAACAAGGAGCAGCAGGCAATTTTAAGGGAGCCCTAGTGGCCCAGTAGTCAAAACACTCAGCTGTTAACCAAAATGTCAGTGGTTTGAACCCACTTTCTTCCATGGAAGAAAGGATGTGGAAACCTGCTTCATAAAGGTTCTGTACAGCTTTGGGAAATCGATGAGGCAGTTCTCTGTCTTATAAGGTGCTTTTAATTTTGTTCTGAAAAACCTCTTAAGCTGAATGACAGAGTAAGAATTGTATTGGATCAATAAAATGAACTATTAATTTGAAAATTGGTTCTAAAATACAAGTAAATCAGTGGCCCAAAACACCAATGGCACAGGTATACAAATGGGAAGATGTTTTTTGTTCTCTTGAAAGCTCAGGGAACATTCATGTGTGATGAAGAGTACTTCAAGGGCCAAGGCCTTCTGAGTTCCAGGGACTCTGGTGAATTGGGACAACCCAGCTAGCTGCAGGAAAGCTCTGGTACCAGCTGGCACCTCAGAGGCAAGGCTCTGCAAGTCATTGGTGCTGGGTAAAGATCACCAACATGCTCACCAAAAAGCCAACCATTGACAACTCAAGGTTTTTAGAAAGCAACATTGCCATAAAAAGCTTTATTTTATAAAGTACTCATCTATGGCAAACCAGGGATTTTTTTTAAACACATGGGAAGAACTCAGAATGCCTGACGTATACATAATGGCTAGCCCAGCAAGAAAGCATAAATGTGAGCTGTGCAGGCAGGTGTAACAAGTAAGCAATGACATTTATTTGGTCCAAGTACAGTATAGTTGTATTTGAGTTTTACAAAACGTCAAATATAAATAACCTGAAACTGTAACAATACACAAAAACTGGCTTCTTACAGAGACATACCAGGCAGTACAAACTGAAAACTGGAGTAAATTAGCATCGTTTTACAGTAATATACAGTGCTAGTTAACATTTAAAACAAGTTTCAATGCATAGCACTCGATACGTCTGAATCTGCTTCAGTTAAGAGTATGAAAATGGTTAGATCTAGGCTAAAAATAATTCTTTTTCTAACCAAAAATAAAGGCATAATATTTATAACCAGGTATCAACTTTACTAAACCACAATATTTTAAAACTATTAAATGATACCTACGGATATTTACATTAAAACAAAACATGCATTTTACTGTTTTTTTCCCCCCTCATGACTGCTTGTTTATACACACACTTTGTTCAAAGGATTTTAAAACTATATTCCTACTTTCAATACAGCATACTGTAATGTTTCTAATTGTTCTTGCAAAACGAATGCTTTCAAAGGGAGCGGAATCATGTTAAAGTCGATGGTGAGGCTTTTTCCCCTTTGGAACAAAAGACATAGCAAACCTGGTTCTGCCCAGATGACTCAGGCATCCAGGTCAGGTCTGGAGGGCCATTTCTCTTCAATCTAATGCAATGACAGCATCAAGCTCGTCCACCGGTTCTGTACGTAACTTCTTCACACTGACGTGATCTTTTTCATCCAATTTCCTTTTGCGACTTCGCTCTTCTTCACTGTGGCCAGTGTTATTTGAAGGGCCTTCTTCATCGGAGTCAACTATAAGCACATCATCTTGCTCTTGTGCTTATTTCACGAAAAAAATGGAAAAAATGGTTAAAAGTGTGAGAATTATTATTCTAGCACATACCAAATTTATTAATGGCTACTCTTTCGGAAACTTTACTTTTATATGTCACATATTTGTGTTGTTTTTAACATAACACCTATTTATTTATATTCTAATAAAAACAAAAACACTAACTCAAAGAAATTATTGCAGTTCTTTGTGTCTATCTCTACTTTCTGCAACATGAAAAGGGAACTTGCATAAATCCACAATGGCGGCAATAATGACAAATTACTAACGACACTTACATAGCACTTACAATGGGCAAGGTACTCTCCTGAGCAATTTGCATTTGATCATGGCACAACCCAACAAAGACACATTACTGTGCCCCAGCAAAGGGAACTAAAGCACAACAGATCTACTTACCCAGGGTTCACAGTGTGACCCCAACAAGGATTCGAACTCATGCAGTCAAGCTCCATAGTTCAGGTGCTTAACCTTACGTGAAAGATGGATTTGCCTCCCCACCCCCCCCCAACCAAAGTAGAAGCAGAATACCTGTTACTCCTCTTTATCTACTCTGCCCACAGTGGGGGGGTCAGTAAAGGAACAATTCAAATTACTTTTCAAAAGCCACCACAGTAGCCTCCTCACAGGATGGCAGACTACTTTCAGTAGGGAAAGGAGGTCACAAACGCACGCTCCACAGGTGGATTGCACTCTACAGCGCCACGATTCCCAGAAAACATCAGAATCCACAGCAACCATATTTGGAAGAATGCCAAAGACACAGGCACAGAGAAACGGGGGGAAACAAAAAGTGAAAAGTTGGTGGGGTAGGAGGAACGAATATTCAAATCGGGGCAAAGTAAATAAGAAGTTATATTTAAACAGCATAAGCATTCAAACCCAGAACAAGCCCCTCTGCTGAATTTTACCCAAACCACACTGGTTCTGAAGAAGCTCCAACATGCTTAAATTGCATATGCACCAAGCATCTGGTTCACTCAAAATAGTAAGATGCACTGAATTGTTTCCCCTAAGTAAAACAGGCATACAAGACCCACAACTACTACAAGGAATGAACTATCTTTACGCCCCAGTAAGACTGTTTCCAGTTGTAAAAACCCATTAAACAACAACGTATGTCTAATTCCCACGATATACTCCTCAGTCTTCAAGGTCTTTCTCCGTGGTTTATGAATTCAAAGCATCACTGAAACAACCAATGTCAAACTAACATACAGCTCTGTGTGGATTTCTATTTAGGGTCAATGTTCATAAAAATAATCAAATTGTTGCTATATACTTTGGTGGCTAATTACACCTTACAGGCCATGACTTACCTGTGGACGTAGAAGGTTGAGCTCCATCATCACTTCCATTGGTTATACTTTTGGCAGCATCTTCTGCTTGTTTTGGTCCTACTTTTTCTGGAGCATCACCAACCACTTCAAATTCAACATCCTTTCCTAGGTCTTCACTGTAAGAGAAGTGCATACTATAAAACCAATCCACAACTACGACTATTAACAAAGCCAAGGAGCACCAGATCGACTGGGAAATGATGTAAATAAACTCTCACTAAAATCCTCCCTCACTCCCACCCCTTCCAGACAGATGAGACACATCTCTAAGAAAAAAAGGCTCACTACCTGAATGGAAGTCTCTTCCTAAAATTATAGCCTCTTTGGTATCACTTAGCTTTTATAAAAAAACTATGTGCAGGTGAGATTAATCACCAATAAAACACCAGCTTTAAAATTTCCCTCTCCCAAAGCCATGCTAAATGCTTGGCACAGCTACCTTTTATTTGCATTTATTTTCTTTTTAGGTTAATACACAGCAAAACCAGCTCCCATCCCAGTTTCTAGACATAATGATCAGTGACTGGCTACAGCTTCGTGGCATTATCAACGTAACTTGAAACAATTTAAAGTAATATAATTTAGTCATTTAAAAGAATAACTAAAAGGATCTAAGTCTTTATACCCTACTATGGTTAGGTTTCTGGGAGACACTTAAGGCTTTCAGCCCCTGTAAAGATTTACCGTATTGGAAAGGCACAGGGGGGACTGTTCCCCTGCCATATAAGGGCACTGGGAGTCAGAAGGGACTTGAAGGCAGGGAGTTTGGCATTTAATTTTCACGTGGATTCATTTCAGAATCTATACCTATGATTAAAGAAGGTCTTTCATTTCTTCAAATACCATGACAAACAGATTCTACACAATCTAATCACAATTTGATCTTAAGCAGTTCTTTAGTATTTTAGGTACTTCAAAGGTTTCTGGGGCCCTGCTGCATTTTTATTGGCCTTTGTACATGTCGTGAGGTCCCAAAAACATGCATAAAAACAATGCATGACCCACCCCACCCACCAAAATGTTATTCAGTGGTGAGGGTAGGGTGGTATTCCAGTCCCAAAAGTCTAAAAAATTATTAAAAACAAAGCAATCAAAATTATGCCTTTTCGTTCAGGCACCAAAGAATACATATCCGTTTCATTATATATGTCCACTGCTGTGGGAGACAGGACCGGGAAGAGAGTGTACGTGGACTAATTCTCTATGCTTGTGATTAAGAAGCCTGGAAGGCCAGGAATCTGGTGGAGAAAAGCCTTCACATTTGTGAGTTGAAAATGAGTCCCAGTCACTTTCTCCGGTCTAAAAATCATCCCCGCAATGTCCTCCCACAACAGTGCTACCTTGATGATACCTCTTCACAAGCAAATCACTGTTACTATACGAGCAGACATGTTTCTTTCCTTCTCCCTGCTCAAGGGGCAGTGGACTCCCCTGTGCAGGTTTCTTCCCCAATGAGCCCAGGGACCTCTAAGGTTAAGATGCTGCCCACCTTGTTACATAAGTAATTAATGAGGTCTGCGTGTCCTGAGACTATATAAGGTGGAAAATATACTAGTGTGTGTACTTTCTCTCTCTCTCTCCTTCATGGCGGAGGTAAGCATCCCAAACTTTTTATCTGTCTCTTTCTTTATTCCTTTCAATTACACAACCGCTCCTTAAGACCCTATAGAGGCTGGTTCCCCCACAAATTGTGTCCTTTCACAACTGAACTTAAATTTATCACTTGTATAGTGTGCCCAACTAGGACTAGAAGTTACAGCTAGCAATATTTACCTACAACTCAAATTTGTAAGCTTATGAAACTTGATATATATATATATATATATGAAGCTTAATAATCATTCTACTACTAATTCACATTCTTTCATAAACCTGGTGCAAAAAACGTAATAGACAAACAGGCAAAATGAATGAAGCAAGTGCCAACACAACAGCAATCCTTTGTCAAATGTCATCCAGAAGTTGAAAGTCAGGGTGCCTCTGGAGGTTACCAATGAATATACAAAAACATGCCTGGTTTAATAATTGATGACCACACCAAGAGAATCATCTACTATATTACCACACACACATATTCAGTAATGCAAGTATTTTTTAAAAACTTCTTTTTAAGTAGGCGGCAAGTAAAAAGAAAAAAAAAAATCTTTAAACACAAAACACCTTCCCTTCAGTCATCTTAAAACCAAAAAATGGCTTAGCTTAGCTAGTAAAAAAGTCTACTGATAGGGGATCAAATTGACAACACCGCCTCGAAAGATTGTCTGGGTACCTTAGGGGGCACTAAACTGTTAATGAGCATGAGTAACTCAGAAAATGGGCAAGGAGGGTTGTATAACTCATAGAATGTAATCAGTATTACTGACTTTTATATGTTAAAAAGTGGTTGGTTGGTATTATGTTGTGCTGTGCACACTACCAACAATTAAAAAAATTATAAGTCGAGTAATTTTTAACCTTTCTTGGTACACTGTCACAGAATGCACTCTCAACACACTTTCTAGGGAAACTTTACAAATAATTGAACATTTTCTTTCAGTTTAATGATCAAAATGAATTCATTGCCAATTAAAAATCTAAAGACCCAGCCTTCTAAGTCTCTCTAGGCCTGATTAGACACCAACGATGAGTTTCCTACCTAGTAAGCATGTTTTGCTTATTCCTGAATTCTAACGTAGGTGAATGGCTAACTCCAGCAAATATACTGCATTATCCCAGTAATTTCTAAAACTTATTGACAGTTCCTACCTATGAAGGATGTTGATCAATAAAGTGTAGTCCTGAAGGAAATCATCGGCTTGAAGTTGACTACCATTTCGAATTCCAAATTCTGACAACTTCTTGTGATTATTACCTAGAAAACGTGAAAAGAATTTTAGGTACCGGTACTTACATTGGTAGGGATTAAAAACAACCCCGCTTTGTCAACATAAAGTCAGAGGAGCTGGTGAAGGTCTCCTCAAAACACACCACGCCAATCTACCTCTATGCTCCATGTCATTTCTGCTCCACTTCAATATCTTCAGTATGTACCACGCAGAGCTTTGCCTGCCACTCACTGGAATTCAGTAAATCTACTCAAGTAAAGGGCCGTCTCTCTAACCCCCTCGACCTGCTGTAGGACCCTGCCGACTCATCCATTCTCACTTGCATTTTCAAATGCTCCTGTTGGTCTGTACAAACAGCCAGGATTCATATAGCAGTGCCTTCTCGTTTCCCTTTCATTTTACCCTCTCTTTTCAAAACACTTGATCTACTTCACACTTAAATACTCCTGGGATATTTGCTCCAAAAAGGCATACGCTGTAGAAGCCGCTGACCGGTATCCATAATACCTGACACTGTATTTAATCTAACGACCGTCTCATTTTTAAAGTGTCTTTTCATGGAATTCTCTAAAAAGAAATTGCTTTTTCTTCGAGATTATTTCCAGATTTATTTTTTTATTTTAATTGTTTAATCTATCTGGAGTGTCTCTGGAGAATGGACCCTCCCACCCACGCCTCCACCTCTGAGCCTACTCTCTCCTTCCATATTCCTTCACTTAACCACAAACACTAGGCCCAACATGCTGAAAAACTAATGTGGGTTTTCTTATCTTCGGTCATAAGCATCTCTGAAGCCAGAATTCAGGCAACGGCCCTACTTCTAAGTCTAACAAAGGTGCCCTCCTCTTCAGCTACAGGGAAGAGTTGATGTTTACAGACAAGCTTTATCTTTTTTAGTGTTGACAACAGCTGGCTACAGTGAGGTCTGAGTAGTCAACCTATACCCTGAACAGGCTACCAAAATGTAGCTTTCAATTTCACATGACCTAACATCTCAAGTAATTTGACAAGAAACAAAATCTAGGAATCACAATATTTAAATAAGCGCCAGGAACTGGAATAGTAAACTGAAGTGACCACTGAACCAACATGTGGTTAAGCCACTATGTAGGTAAAAGAGTGCCTCCAGCTTTCTGAAGTGAAGGGTAAACTGACAAAATTGGGATACGAAAGATCAACTAAAACAGTCCCCCCAGAGATGAGCTGCCAATGTGACGGGCCTAGTCAGAGTGATGAGCGTGGTCTGAAGAAGGGGTAGCCGGGATGAGAGTCTAATGAAGAAAGCCATAGCAGGATCAAATGTATTCCTTATAAAATAAATGGCCTAATAAAACGACTTGCTTGAACTTTTAAAAAGGGCAACAATGAGAATCAAAAGTGGGCATTTTCCTATAATCACTGTAAAACCCATTTGTTACATAGTTCATGATATATAACCGAATTGGTTTTCATTGGATGTTTGAAGCACTTTGAAAGTAACAAACCTATTTTCTTCTATTTTGTGCTTCCAGAAATTTAAGAGATTCTCGAATCAAAATAAATAAAGGCACTGATTTTCAGCAATATCGTCTGCTACACAGTAATGAAAGGCTATTAAGACAAAACACATGTAGTTTTATACCATCAACAGCCAGAGCCGCCTTCTAATCACTAATTTAGCTGCCAGGCAAGGAGGTTACTTGAAAGTAGACAAGAGCACATGGTTACTCTACAAATCTTACACAACTTGCACACTGGGCTCTCTTTGAACAGGTCAGAGAATCTGACCAGCTCTGGACAGCATGACAACATGGAATCCCCAAACCTTGGACTGTGGACCTCAGGACCTGACTTGATGCCCAAACATTTCCTTTTCAGCATGTTGAGCTCAATGCTCAGCTGTGAAATGAGTAAGATAGCTGAATAAAATTATGTGCATTCTTTCCCTTAGGCAAATGAGGGGTATAATGAATGAACCACTAATACCTTCTGTTTCTCCTTCTTCTGAAGATATTAAGATTGTTCCTTTCCCATCTTCAATTTGCACATCTGGTGCTACCATGGCAAATTTTTCTTTTACTATCTGCAAGTAAAAAAAACTTTAAAATATTAAAACAATTTAAAAAAATAAATCATTTTATTGAGGTCTCTTACAGCTCTTGTAACAATCCATACATCAATTTCATCAAGCACATTTGTACATATGTTGCCATCATCATTTTAAAAACAGTTTCTTTCCACTTGAGTCCTTGCTATCAGCTTCTCCCCCCCCACCACCACCCTCGTGAACCCTTCACAAATTATAGATTGCTATTCTTTTCATGTCTTACACCATCCGCTGTCTCCCTCGAACCGCTTCCCTGTTGTTCAGCCCCCCACCCCCAGGGTATTACGTAAACTTCCTCCAATGCGTTATCAAGAACTTCTTGGTTGGCTCTTGCATTTTCTCTTTCTGTACAGATTAGGTACTGAGCTAGACATTGGCCTATCTATCTCATTCATTGCCTGTGCCAGCCCTGTAGTGGCAGGTGTTTTATTGATAGTAATCACCACTTGCTAGTTAGTGTACATGTCCTGTTGTCCACCTCAAAGAGAGAAATTCAAATCAAGTTGTGCTGTATGACCAGTTCTGGGACAAAATCATTATCAAGCAGCATTAGGGTAAAAAAGATATATTCTTTCTAATATCTAATGAGAAGTATTTGACATTAAGTAAGTTTAACAAGATGAATAATGCAAAGTGATCCCCAAAGTGGGTCATTTGAGTCTTTAAAACATCTTCCTTTTCAATAACAACATAAAAAACCCATCTTCCTTTCCCAAAGAAGAAAATAACACATCACCCACTCTGGCTCTATGGATATATTGTACTCGGGTATACAGATGCTTTATCTTATCAGGGTCTAAACTTAACTCACCCAAACCAGGTCATGTTGAAAAGGCTGGATGCCATCAACAAGTCCATTGCCAAGCTACTCCAGACAGACAGAGACCCTATGATGAGTGACCATGTATTGGCAGTGGTTCTCAACGCCCTAATGCTGCGACCCTTTAACACAGTTCCTCATGCTGTGGTGACCCCCAACCATAAAATTACTTTTGTTGCCACTTCATAACTATAATTTTGTTACTGCTACGAATTGTAAATATCTGATAGACAGGATGTATTTTCATTGTTACAAATGTAACATAATTAAATCATTGTGATTCATCACAAAAACAATATTGTGAAATATTTATTTCTAATGACAAATAAATGAAATTTTGTCTTGAAGCATGGTGTAGCACGGGTAACAATCTTCACACCGGGTACTCGTAGGTGGGCGTTTATCTGCATGTGGGCAGACCCGCCTGGAGATGGATAGAGAAGCGGTGTCTCGGTTCCTAAGACCATTGGAAATATGTAATTTCCGATGGTCTTAGACAACCCTGCGAACCCCTTGTTCAACTCCCAAAGGGGTCTTGACCCACAGGTTGAGAACCGCTGCTTTACAGGAACAGATAGCCTCATCCTTCTCCCAAAGTGAAAGTGCGTTTGAACTGCCAACGTGTGCCCAATGGTTACCCGGCAGCACCACCAGTGGTCCTTAAGCCTCAACAAAGACATTACCTCCCAAACAAAATAATCAATAAGGGGTGGGGGGGGGAGACAATTATGAGATACTAAGGGCAAGAGCATATGATTGTGTACCAAAATGGACCTTACTTAATAAGCACAAATGCCTGTTCTCTCCTGTCAATAATAATACTAGGTTCAGAGGAGAGAGGGTGGGATATCCATCCGGGTTAGAAAACGGACCAGAGCCATTTGGAAGATACAACAGAGAAGAAATAGAATTTTGAAGTCAACACTCAGGGAACAATAAAAGTGCAAGCAACAGAAGCTCAGCCTGTGCCGTGTACAATCAATAATAAAACTGTGTGTACAAGAAAAAAGAAAAAGAACTAAAGAAACAAATGACAAGAACTCCGTAATTTGGTTGTGTTGGGAGTTAGTTGTCTATCATCCAAGAGCACCTCAAATCCTGCAAGTGATTATCCATGCACTTTCATAAAAAATTACAGAGTAGAATTTTGCTCTGCTGGAAACGTAGATCTGCCACTGTAAGTAATCATAACGGAGGCAACTCGTCCGCTCGCTGCCATAACTAGACCATCTTCACACCATTCAAAGACATCTCCCATCTGACCTCCAAATATATCCTACATCCACTATCTAGAAAACAAAGAGTAAATATCTCACCCACTGGCCATGATAACACAGAGATCCACCTGTGTCAGTTATGGTATAAACTCAATCAACATACCCGTTCCTTTTTGGACTATGAAGCACATACGGAGTCACATACAGGAACTCAAAGCAATGCTAAGCCCAAGAAGTCAAAGCCGCAAACTACAGGACTCAGAGCCTTTCAGAGTAAACCCGGTACATTGCTTTTAGTTTCTATCAGAGTAACACTGTAGAAGAGAACCAGGCACGGCTCTTACCTTATCTTGTAGTGTGAGAACAGTCACTTCATGGACGTTCAGTCGTACAGTCACCTCTGGCTTGCTGGCACAAACATAACAATTGGGGTTGGGAGAATCTAATGCACAAGGCACAAGGAGCTTCTTTCTTGGGTTTGGAAGCTTATTCAAAAAAATCTTTTTGGGGGGACGGAAACAAAACAAAACAAGAAATCAGTTCAAATTTTATAAACCATAAATGATTTTTAAAATCTTACCATTATACAGCCAATTAAAAAATGACTTCAATATTCCTTCCTAGATGACAAGAAGCCTTAAGGCTACCTTCTGACCTACATTTCAAATCTGTTGGAAAAAGCTTATTAAAAAAACTTTTAATAAGACTTTATTAAAGAGACTCTTTTGCAAGCTAATCTAGTATAAGTAAAGGTCTAGTCATAAGGAGCCCTCGTGGAATCGTGAGTTAGGCATTTGCCTATTAACTCCAAGGTTGGTGGTTCGAACACACCAGCTGCTCTGTGGGAGAAAGATGAGGCTGTCTGTACCTGTAAAGGTTTTGTCTTGAAACCCTATCTACAGGTGCTTGAATTGGAACAGTGAGTTTTGTTTGCTTTTTTGTAAGGCCCTACTTATACTACTTTCTGGTACCATCGGTAGATCTTTACTTCTGAATGGCCTTCCTCCTATTAGTAATTATTAAGCCAACCTCCTGACCAGATCAAACAATGATAATGCTTTAACAAAAGCTTAGAAGTCACGCGACTGCCTTTCTTTTAGAATTTTCTGATAACTGATGGTAATTGTTACTATGATTATATAAATAATCCAAACAATTATATAAATAATCCAAACAAGTCCAAAAAAAAACATAAAACCTTCACTTAAACTGCAATTATGGCAGATCCAAACCTCATACTACAAAGTCTAAAGAACACTAGCCAGATTCAAACACACAAAAAATACATTGTATGATGCTACAAGGGTAAAAAAGGCACTATTAGGGGTCTACTTCACATATGGCTCATTCCAAACAAAAATGTCTGTCATCAGTGGATGGCTGCCGACAAGTTCTCTCAGTAATACACTTGTCTTAGTCTCCTTAAGGTGCTTTCAAAGCTACGTCAAACCAAAAAAGTGATTTCCACTGGGCTCTTCAGGGCCAGTTAAATTCCAGGCAGACAAGTCAGCTCAGGTTATGGCAACTAAGTTTTGGTGACTCCAGAGGAGTCCATTTGATAGGTTTTACTGACAAACAGAACAATCATGGGAGATGTTGTAATAAACACCGGCGAGGAAAAGGCCAGGAAAGTTGTATCAAGGCACATGCTTCCCTTTCATGACACTGAACCTGCTCATTCTTCAAGGTGAGCAAGGGCTGTCCTACATGAATTTCACTGGCAAATCCCATCCCATCCATTCCACAGCCCTAATATTGCTTCTTCAAACTTTTTGTTCTCCAAACCCAGAAAACATTGAAAGAAACAGAATTTATGTCTCTACAGTATACCAAAATGGCCACTTTTACTGTATAAACAAAAGTTTAGACTTAAATACAAGTTGAGAAATAGGCTCACACATTTTGGTATTTTTCTCTAATAAAGGTTTCTATCATTTTGCAGCAATACTCTTGGATGTATATGAAATGTTCTGCTCTACAGTACATTACTTGTTACCCATGGCTGAGAGCACAAGTAAGTTGTGGGCATGATAACCAAGGACTATCAGCTATCTTTTCAGGATATGAAAATGCTCTAAAATGGACTGTGGTGATGGCTACAACATTCTGTGACTGTACTAACTAGAGCCACAAAAAAAGGTGTTGCTTAATATCTATACAGATAAGGAGATCGATCTGTTTTCTCACTAGTTCTCCAGGTGCCGCGTCCAGTGTGACCCTGGGATGGTAGAGCGGGGCTTGGGGTGCCTATTGTACTTCCTATTTCATGCTGCACATCTCAGGACTTCTCCGTCACTACCAGAACCACCCAGGCTGCGGCCTCACTGAACTCCAGTGACCAGCACATTATGTGTGGGTCCTGAGCCCACAGCTCTTCCCACAATGGCTGCTGAACTTCTGAACTGCAGAGGTGGTGAGAACAGGGAAAGGGAAGGCAACTGGTCGGGAAGGGTGTGTGTACGCGCTTGCGCGCTTGGGTGTGGGTGTGTGTGTGTTTGTCACTGGACTGGCCAAGTGCACAGCTCCCTGAGGTGGGGCAAAGAGGTAGGCAGAAATGAGTATGACTTCTTGACTTTGGACAGCGACCACAGAGGAACCAAAGTTTAGTTCCTTTGCTTGGGTGCAGCAGCGAGTCTTGGGCCTGCCTGGTGACTATCCTATACACCTTCCCACGTATATGATGCAGTCATAGCAAAATGTCCAAATCGCTGAACATCCTACTTCACAGACTGGATTGTGGATGTTAAATAATGTACAGCTATACTTTAAATGGGTAAATTGTATGGTATGTGAATTGTACCTCAATGAAGCTGTTAAGGAAGAGTAGAAGTTAACATAAGAAACCTCATCTTGTGATGATCATGCCGAGGGGTTTCTGCTAAATGAATTCATTCTAAAGGGGACCATGGATTCCAAGCTAAAAGAGCTATCTTGGGAAAAGCCCACTTGGATACTAGTAGTCTGGCAAGGGAGGGTGGTGGGTAGGGAGAACTATACAAGATAAGCAGGCTACAATGAAGGATTGAAGGTTTTATTTTATCTGGGGCTTCATGCAAGTGTGCTAAATCAACAGTAATGAAAACAATTGCTTACACTATTAATACTGAAGCTAACTATTCAGCTATCTTGTCATTAATATACGAATGTAAAGGAAATGAAGTTGACATATAATTATTGAGCTGGCAAAAAAAAAAAAGTATCCAAAGCCTGTTATAGGGAGCAGTCGGTACTTTAACAAGTCTGAAACTAACACTGTTTGTGAGATGAAAGGTACTTTATATGGGCTATATATTAAAAAATCCAAATTACTGACACCAACCAATCTCAACTCAGTGACCTATCTATACAGGGTCTCCAAGACTATAAACCATCCCAGGAGCAGACAATCCTATTGTTCTCCTGTGGAGCAGCTGGGAGGTTTGAACCAACGGCTTGTGCCACTAGAACTCCTTATGGGTTGTATATGAATTTTTTTTAAAAACCCTAAAACAAAAATTCTTTAAATGCCCCCAGATTAGTAATAGGAACGTAACCTAGATATAAATATAAATCCTCTTTGAAGAACATCTTCACCATTTCAATCAATCCGTTAAAAAATTAGCTGACATTAATATCCCCGCCTGAAAAAAAACCAAACCCACAAAATACAACCACACAACACACAACAGGTCACCCTCAGAGACAGCAGAAACGATGGTAAACTCCATATATAGATTTAAGGCATTAACTTAAATTATCAAAGAATAGAAAAATAACTTTTAATATTAAGGATTAGAATTATGATGAGACACAAGGAAACTATGACCAAAAAAGTGATAGTAAGTAATTAGTAAATAGAATAAATTAATCCAAGAATTTGGTGCAGGTGGATAGGGTGGGGGTAAATTAAGCCTTTGCTACCATTTGCCCAGCAAAACTAAGAGAAACAAGCATGCTTTCTTTCTTTTTCGATGTCATCCTGAGGTTGAATGCTTATTTTAACATGCACTCCCCCCAAGATTATGGAAGAACTATTTTTCCATTGCTTTCAACTAATTTTATCATTTTAATACTTAAAACAATCTATTTAAAGTGATTTTAACTTTTTTTTAAAGGCTTGATTAAAATATGTAAATGGAATACTCACTGTTCTACATTGGTCTATTTTTCCTGATAGAATCTTCAAACCTTCTAACACTATCAATCCAGCAATCACTGCATTAGTTGTAGCGATAGCAGGAATGATATTCCCTGCCATTGCTGAGGGGGGAAAAATAAATCACTCTTACAAAAAGAAAACAATTTTGACGTTTAGATGACATAATTCACATATGAAAGAACTTACACTTTATATCAAATCTGCTCTTCATATTCATACTGAAAATATGCATCCTGAGGTTTGCAGCAGAGGTGACAAAATCCATTGCAGATGGGTCATCCTGGCAATAGATTAAACATTTAACAAGTTTCTCCCCACAGATTCACCACTCTAGTGAAATACTACTTTCAGAGTACTTTCACCATGCTTCTTCCAATATTAGTCAACTAGAACATGAGAAAGCTGAGGCGGAGAAGTGGGGCAGGCTGGCCTTACAACAGATTGAGACGCTCAATGAGTGCGGGGAGGCCCTCACATCAGCTTCTCTGGCCGTGAGATGGAGTTCATCATCAGGAACACCCAGAGCCCATCAGGCTTCCAAGAAATCATACCTACTTAACCAAATGCACCAATTCAATTCAATGAAAATGGCCATTCTCTTTTAGTTATCAGTCAGCAATGAGAAGGCAGCTTGACACAGAATCCAAGCAAGGAGATACAGAATGCTTTGAGGAAGCTATCTGATAAGAGCTTCAGAAAATCCTGGAGTACTTGAGTTGATTAGCAGAACTGTTATGTGCAAAGAGTAGATTCTGACTCATAGCACACCATATGACAGATTAGAACATAGGGCTTTCTAGGGTCTAACCCTTACAATAGCCAGGTCTTTTCTCCTATGACGTGGCTGGGGACTTTGAAACCCCAATCTTTCGGTTGGTGGCTGAACATTTAACCATTGTGCCACTAACAGAACATACACCTCCAGCCATCAGACACAGGCCCTTCCCCAAATCTTGCCATCTGGCTTCCCCTTCTGCAAAGTCAAGGAGCACTGGTGGCACAAATAGTTTAAGCATTTGACTGCTTGCCAAGAAGTCAGTGGTTCAAAGCCACCAGCTGCTTCCATCAAGATTTTCAACCTTGGAAACACTAGTGACAGTTCTACTTTGCCCTACAAGGTTGTTATGAATAAGCATCAGCCTGAAAACAATGGTTTTCCTCCAAACTCCTTTTAAATACACCTCTCATGCTAGCAGACCAGAATTCAAAAGTGCTACAACATGTAAGAAATATTGATTGGATGGGCTTGTTTATGGATACTCGCTGGCTGGTTGTGCAACCTCTAGTAAACCATAATCTCCCGGAACCCAAATTCCTTAACTTCTTAAACAGCCAACATGATATCCACATCTTGTAAGGCTGTGGTCAGAATATAGTACCCACTAGGTATTTCCCCAGGCAGTTGACTAATCATATCCATCACTCACAGAATTAACAACTCCTAGTCTGAGTATCTTTACTTAGCCCTGTGTGAAGATTACTTCTTAATGACTCAAAAGATCTATCCTTCAAGGATCTACATTTACCAGCTTCATTTTATTTCTGATTCAACCAAGTTCCATGGGTTTCTAAAAGTGACCAGCTTTCTTTCCCTCTAAAACCCACGACAAATTTGTATTTTTACAGGAAAACACAAAACTTTATCAGATAAACAAGTCTATTCTCTTAAATTGATGAAACATTTACTCCAATAAGTTGACACTTGTCCAGTCAACATATTTGACCAGGCAGCGACAGACACTAGAATCTAAAATGAAGTTTTAACAATATTGTGTGAATTCATCCTATAGTCTGAATCACTAGAAAAGAAAAATATCCAAGCAAAATGTAACATATCTTTCAAAATCTGATAGAATAAATGTGCAAAAAATTCTAGCAACAATCACAACTGAATAAGTAAAACATATATTTGACATGTAGGTAATTTCAGGGATTATCAAAACCAACCTTGTCCCATATGAGCTCAGCTCCATCCCCTTTTTCGGCTAAATGCACTCTCAAAGTCTCAATGCTTTTGGAAAAAAGACTTGCATAGCTCTTTACATCTAGAACCTGCTGGTCTTTCAAACCTAACTGGGGTTCATTTTGTTGATCAGACGCATTGGTTTCTTCACCTAAGGAAATATTGTAAGTTTTACTATTAAACACCACTCCTTTACTGTGTTACATTTAACAAATTCAATACTTGCCCAATATTCTTTTTAAAAAGGTGAAACAAAATAACATCTGTGAAAATAACCATCACTACAAATATCTGTACAAGAATTAATTACTAGAGCTGAGATAGAAAAAAGTACAAGGACACCTTTTAAGTTTACTGGTGGTTTCAAGGAACATGATCTATACAAGGGAAGTATTATTATGTCTAGCACATGACACGCATTGAATGGAAGCTACTATCTGCTGGGAGACTGGTTCCAGGATAGCCCCCGCATAACTCCACAGATGCTCAAATACCCTATAAAATAGCATGGTTTTTGCTAAATAACCTAAATACATCTTCTCATTTACTGTAAGCCATTTCTAAATGAATTACAGTACCTGGTACAATGCAGATACTGTCTACATAGCACTTGAAGCTCCCGCTTAGCTTTTGAGGATTACTTTGACCCTTTAATTGCTTTCCCCACGCTCCCGCTCTCATCAAGGGTTGATTGAGTGGATGGATGCAGAACCTGTGGATGTGGACTATCTATTGTACGTAAATGGGTCTATAAGTTCAGTATCCCACATCATCTAGAACTATTCCTAATGGACATGACAACCCCAGCTCCCCAGGGATCCTGTAACCTCTAGGTCAGAAGTTGTGCTGTGCACAAATTAAATGCAATACCTTACAGATAAAGGTGAGATAGATGTGCTGAGAGGAAATGGGATAATGGTGCCGTCAGTATTACAATATGGCACCCTCCCATTTAAAACGATGTGTTTTTAAATTAATCTTATAAAAATAATCACACAAGGGTAGAAATGTATGAACCTATTGGAGCACTGCATTTCAGGGAAAGTTCGAAACAACCATTAACCAATAAAGAACTAGTTAAATAAATATAGATCTGAAACAAGTAAGTTAAGAGTACATAAACGATGTGATTTAATATAAAGTGTATGCATGGCTGACTGTGCTTGTCCACAGTCAACTTACTAGAATGTTCCCTAAAATGCTTCCATTTTTCTAAGTGATACATCTTAAAAGTGATTTTCTTGCTTCGCATTTCTGAGTTATTTGAATTTCTTACCATCAACAAATGGCATTTTCAAGACATAACAGGGTCATTTAAAGACTTCAGGTGAAGGATTTTAGTTAAAGTATCTCAAAACTAAAATGCACCCTCCTTTCTTTACCTTGACTTTGTACTTCAGCCCAGTCGAGTGGAACTGGCGGTTTCCTTTTCCTCCATAGCTTGTCCATAGTCAACAGGTACCTAATATCATCTTTAAAGAGCTTAAGAAGAAAGAAAAAAAAAAAAGATTAAATCCCACGAAGCCTACAGTTCCTATGGTAATAATATCCAGCATTTTGATGCTGTTTTGTCATAAATACTTTGAAATAACTGAAAGATAAACATGGTGTGTGTGTGCGTGCACACGCATCCTGGTGTCAGTGCTTATGATCTGAATTGCTAACCTCGATCTGCTCCTGTGGGTTTCTGAGACTATAACTATATAGGAATTGAAAGCCTCACCTGTCTCTCAAAGCTCAGTTTGTGTTTTTGAACTGCTGGCATGGCAGTTAGGAAGCCAACTACGCTACCAGGGCTCCCTATAATATATGATAGCAGATTTTATTTAAAAAAAATTTTTTTAAGTTAACCTTCCTTAAGAGAAAATGTCCTCTAGGTTTACAACAGTTAAAAGCAGAGGTGATATTGGATAGGCAGATAGGGAAATGCTAACCTGGGCTCACTGGCTCTGCTTTCCTCCAAATCATAAAGCTCCAAAGATCAAAGTGAACCACAATCATATAAATCTACGCTAAAAAAAGACACCAACACCAACCCCCCACCCAGTAATAAACACAGCTTAACTTTTAAGAATTGTACATGCAAAAATGGTTAAATTGGTGCTCAATGGACCTTCAAAAAGTTCACAGAAAAAACTGGAATTAAGAGATAATGGAATTTTCCCACGACTTCTTTGAACCTAACATGTTCTACTTTGTATTTTCAACAAAAAAGATTAAAAATGGAATACAAGCACCAAACCTATAGATATCAGTTATCAAAACCTCCACAGCTGGGGTCAGCTGAATCAACCAGTGTACCACAGTTCACAATGACAATGTCCTGTCGCCTACTGTGATGATGAGTGACTGGGGTGGTACCGCAGCCAACCAAGATAAAGTTATCAGTCGCTCCCAGTCCAGAGCAAAGAGGAGTGGAAACTTGAGGAAACAAAGTGAGGGGGCTACTGGACCACATGAATGTAAGTGTCCACTAACCTGAAACCACAAGTACTAGATGGTTCTTTATTGCCACTACTGACCATTCTGTAATCAAGAACTAAATTCAAAACCTTAAGGTGACCACAAATTTACTGGTTTGAGACACTGGTGAAACCCCCCAGACATATAAACCTGGGAAAGATCCAAAATTACAAGCCTACACGGTGAACAGTAATGTTTGTGAGGAACGTGCTTCTCAGAATAGCCAATCATACGAAACCTAAAGGGCGCCATTTGCCTAGAAACAAGGCCCCTAAGGCAGGGAAGGGCAGCAAAACAGGGCAGGTGGGCCTGGGAAAGCAGCAAGAGTACAGCCACACTGTGGGAACTGTGCATCAATTGCTTAAATGAAAACTGACTGACTCACCCAGAACAAAAAAAATCCTATCAATGTGAGAGTGTGGAGTGGAGAGGAGACCCAAAGCCCATCTGCAGACAATTGGACATCCCCCTATAGAAGGGTCATAAGGAAGAGACGAGCCAATAAGGGTGCAGATTAGCACCGATGAAACATACAACTCTCCTCCAGTTCTTTAATGCTTCCTTCCCCCCACTATCATGACCCCAATTCTATCTCACAAATCCGGCTAGACCACAGCATGTACAGTGGTACAGACAAGCACAGTAGGTGCTTAAAATTACCTGCTGAATAATGGACTGGTGGTGTACTTCAGATTATCAATCATTCAAATGTTGCGCAAATTGGAATGAAACAGATTTAAGGAGCCTAGTTTGGGAAATATTACCACTGTCCGTTACAGAAGGAGCCCTTGTGGAGCTATGTCAGTTATTGCGCTGTTAAAGTCAGTAGTCAAGCCTACCAGCTGATACCTGGGAGAAAGATAGGGCTACGTACTCTTATAAAGATGCAAAGTCTTAGAGTCCTTATGAGTTGGAATCGAATCCACAGAAGTGGGTTTGGTTTTTAATCCCTAACAGAGGATAGTGTATTTTCATATATAATCAAACAGAAACTATTTTCCAGGAAAAAGACGACGAGCCAGACCATGATTTGTTACTGAGAAAAGGAATTAAGTATAAGCTAAAGGAAGCAAAAGGCTACTTTTGGTTAGGAGCATAGGACTCATCTGAAACCAGGCAGAAAGAACCAAGAAAGGAGGGACTCTAGGTTTGGGACAGATGTGGCAACAAACGCTTCTGAGAGAATAAGGTATACAGTGACACCGTGTGGCCCCCCACCCAATAAAAAATCTGGATGTAGAGCTAGCCTTAACTGATAAAGAGTTTTCCCCAACAAAAGAAATGGAAACAAGCAAGCAAAGATTTTGCAGTGAAAAGAAAACATTCTCCTAACAGGTTAATTACATTCAATTGAGTTCAACCTGTTGCTATATCTTTAAAGCCATCTTCTTGTATGAAGAGGCAAGAACAGATTAAGCCATTCAAGGAGAGCTGACAAAATTTCAAGAACCTACTGTGATAAACTAAGACTCAATAATTAGAAACTCCATTAAAACAACCTTGTACATTACTCCAAAAATATTCAGCAGACAAGTTAATATATACTGGTGACGAATGATCCCACCAGAGCAGTGGTTCTCAACCTTCCTAATGCCGCAACCCTTTAATACAGTTCCTTCTTGTGGTGATGTCCTCAACCATAAAATTATTTCCGTTGCTACTTCATAAATGTAATTTTGCTACTGTAATGAATCTGGCAACCCCTGTGAAAACGTTGTTCAACCCACAGGTTGGGAACCGCTGCACTAGAGGAAAGCAAAATGCTTAAGAATTCACAATAGGTTTAGAACACCTCAATAGAACAGAAATGAGATGCGTAAAGACAAGCAGCAGCAGGAATCAAAAGTCACTTATGAGAAAAACAAAGTTCAGCAGGTAAGATAAGACAGCCAAGATAAGATTGTATATGCAAGGGCTTCAAGAAGTTTAAGTACAAATGGAATCAAAAGATAAATGGTATTTTCCCATGAAACTTTTGATGGCCCCGGGGCCATAAATAAACTGGTGCTAAATTTCAAAGCCTGCCTATCCTGACACCAATCTACAGCATTAGGAACATAAATATACACATGAATAGAAAGGAAAAGCAAAGCGCACTTTCACGTTCTATTTTGCAACAGAATTAAAACAATACAGTTAAATTAAAGCAAACCTTGGTAAAAAGTTTAACTGGATCATAACCAGTTGATTTAGCCCACTCCTTAGTGGAAATACGTTTAATGTCACCATCTTCATTAGATGCTCTGGCTCTGGCTTCAGCTTCCATTGGCTCCCCTACAAAACAATTTAATTGCAAGAAAATAAGGAACTAAGTTCCCAGTCACCTTTGGGGGTCGAGTGGGGGAGAGGATCAGACATGGAAATCACCTGCATCTATATGACACATCCTAAGTTTCAGAAGATATGAAAAGAACATCATCAGCATTTCCCCCCACCTAACTTTCTGAAGATCGCATCCATATTCAAAGCATTGACCTGTACTAAGATTCGGACTAGATGTATGACCCTAAGGAATTCAATTTTTATCTAGCTTGATAGCTTCACCAGTAAAGTGAAACTGCTTAATATTTAAAATGCTGCTTTAAAAATTATGTAACATGTGAGGCATGTAATATTATCTGGCTCATAAATGAATAAACCTGTCAAGGTGGTTGTTTTGCAATGGCTGGCAAACCTTTCTTCGAACATATTCCCTGGGTATACCCAAACCCCCAACCTTTCAGTTAGCAGTTGAGTATACTAATGGTTTGTACTACCCAGAACTCCCATCGAGCATGTAGCAATAGCAGTTTTTTCCCCTTTCTTCTAAGCCACCAAGATTAAACTAGTAAAGAACGGGGCAACCACTAGGAAAACAACGTTCTAAATATTTCACTCACAGGCAGCTTCAGGATCAGCTCTGTCAGGAGATACTTCTTGATCAGCATCTTCTTCCCCAAACAACTGGCTATAATTTAAGAATGGTAAATATTATGCAGAACAAAATATATTCTAAACATGTGGTTATTTTTTCTATTTTCCTCACAAGCAATTTAAGATAACAAAGAAAAGCTTAGGAGTGAAAATTGATAAATTTCACTTTGAAAAGCTAAAGGATCATAGTAATTTTGGGGGGGGAGGGGGCAACTTGCATCTTAATTTCCATAACAATACAAGCCAGGCTCAATTTTAGTAGGCTTATTACTCCACTCATCGTCTAGGTTTTACTATGTTAATTAACATTTTGACAAATACACAGGTGAATTACCTTTACATTCCAACTTGGATAACCTTCACATGCCAGAACAACATTAGTAAAGTACAACTACAGTTGGCTATTAAGCAAACATTATTATTAAATAACTATGAAGTCCCGAAACTGCTCTAGGTTCAGGAAACTCAGTGAATTAAGACACTTTTTAAATGTGCTAGTAATATATTATTTTGCACTGAAGAGTTTTAAGAAATAAATATGTATGTATTGAAATCCTCTTTTTATAATCTAGTTATCTAACAACTAGGCAAGAAAGTTGTCCTAAGGGAATCCTTTGTACAGTTAAAAATACAAATCAACAACAAAACAAAAAAACACACAACCCAAAAATCTGTGATCTCAGGAATTCTTGATACATTTTACAAGAAAATGCTCAGCTGTTTCCCCGCTGTGGTTGTACCAAATTACATTCCCACAACATACTAAAGTTCCAATCAACTCACTTCCTCTCCAGATTTAATACACGGAGGCAGCTCTACTCTGTCCGATAGATAGGTTCACTCTGAATGGAGATAAAGCAAGTTTTTAATGAAATGTTTGTTCCTATTCCTTCGGTCAGGTTCTTTGTCTTAGTGATTTTAAGAATATATTCTGGATCACAATATTTACGTGATTATATGCTGCAAAAACTTTCCCCCATAAAATGGGGGGAAATCATTTGATATCTTTAAATGGAGATATTAATAATGGAATCTAACGATCTTTTCTTTTATGGTTAGCACTTTTTAAAATCTTATGAAACCATTTCCTACCCTCAAGGAGAGCGAGATGCTTTCCCCTATTACAAGGTTTGAGTTATACAATCTATCTGGACTTAACTTTTAGATCGTTCCAGTGGTCCTGTTTTATCTGTGACCTATGACATAAGCTCAATCATTTATCCTCTTACATGAGGCTTTGCTTCTGAGATCTGTAATCTGGCCCAATGGTCTTTGCAACACTACACTAACACATGTATTTTTTTAGGGTGTATTCTTGACACCTCCAAGAGTAAGACTTCCCAACATAGTCTTCTCCAATAAGAGAAGGGCTCCTCTAAAGCCCTCTTGCATATACATTTTAGATTCAATTGGTCAGTTTCCAAAATCCCCTGATGCCTTTAAATCAGAGAAGCAATAAATTTACAAGACATGGCTGGAAAGTCCCAAGATTGTCAGTATTCACTTGTCTTAAAGTTGGACTTAAAACTTTTACATTAAAAATAATCTTCCATTAACTAACTGGATAGCAGGTAGGAGGAGCCAAGGGTTTAAAGCGGATGTAGGTTTTTACAGAATTTTCCATGAAAAGGAACCTTGGAGTTCTGTATAGACTCGAGTAGAAGCCGACCCAAATATCAACCAAGGCACCTCATTTTACCACAAAAACTGCATTAAAAGTGTGCTGAAAAACTCAGATTACACACGAGAACATACGGTAGCTGTTCTAAGACTGGGGCAGAAAATAGACAAGATGAGGCTAAAGCAACTTGTAGTGCCAGAAAGAAAAGAAGTGTTCAACAAACAAAATCACAGCACACTGATGGGGTTATGTCAAAGGGGCAGAGGAGCCAACGGCAATAATGAACTCCCCAATGGTCAAAGCTAGAACTATTTTAACATGAAGATAAATAAAGTAGCATTGGACTATAAGCCAAAATATAAAATACTCGAGTTCATACTGACATAAATAAATTGGACAAATGAATGAATGGGGGAGATGAGGCAAATCTCCCATGCAGAAGATCTCCAAATAATTTCTGTCAATATTCCCCATTCTTGAGGTATGGGCTGCAAGTGGTGAATTCTTCCCCAATATACAGTATGAAAAAAAAAAAAATCAAACCCCACTGCATGGAGTAAATTCCAACTCACAGTGACACTACACAGGGGTTCCAAGACTATAAATCTTTACGGGACCAGAAAGCCTTACCCATCTCCCATAGAGTGACTAACTTTGAACTGCAGACCTTGATGTTAGTAGTCCACAACATAATTCACAAGCCACCAGGGCTACTCAGTATAGAAAGAGGAAAGAAACAGATCTATATGCATATATTTATAGGTTTAGTATAAAGTAGCAGATGGATATTGGGCCTCCACTTAAGTACTCCCTAAATGCAAGAACACTTTATTCTAGTAAACTGACATTCCATGATGCTCACCTTCCTGACACGATCACTGAAAATAAATGGGTGCATAAGCAAATGTGGTGAAGAAAGCTGATGGTGCCTGGTTATTGAAAGATATAGCATCTGGGGTCTTAAAGGCTTAAGGTAAACAAGCGGCCATCAAGCTCAGAAGCAACAAAGCCCGCATGGAAGAAGCACACCAGCCTGTGTGATCACGAGGTGTCAGAGGGATCAGGTATCAGGCATCAAAGAACAAAAACTCATATCATTGTGAATGAGGGGGAGTGCAGGGTGGGGACCCAAAGCCCTTCTGTAGGCCACTGGACATTCCCTTACAGAAGGGTCGCAGGGAGGACACGAGCCAGTCAGGGTGCAGTGTAGCAACGATTAAACATACAACTTTCCTCTAGTTCTTAAATGCTTCCTTCCCCCCCACTGCCTTACAAATCCGGCTAGGCCAGAGGATGCACACTGGTGATACCAGGAGGGTGGAGGGAAGGTGAGGTAGAATGGGGGAACTAATTACAAGGATCTACATATAATCTCCTCCTTGGGGGACGGACAACAGAAAAGTGGATGAAGGGAGACGTCAGACAGTGTAAGACATGACAAAATAATAATAATTTATCAATTATCAAGGGCTCATAAGGGAGGGGGCGTGGAGGGGAAAAAATGAGGAGCTGATACCAAGAGCTCAAGTAGAAAGCAAATGTTTTGAGAATGAGGAGGGCAATAAATGTACAAATGTGCTTGACACAATGGATGTATGTATGGATTGTTATAAAAGTTAGACAAGTCCCCAATACAATGATTTTTTTTAAAGGGGGGAGGAAAAGAAAAAAATTACATTTACAATGGAAAAGCCTAAAAATAACCACAGAATCAAGTCTAATAGCAATCATAAGTCATAGCAACAGCACGTATTCCACTGGTAGGCAGAACGAAAATGGCTCTTCTAGTCTTCTTCACAATGTAGCCTATAACCCCAGTTCTATAAAATGTGTCAAATAAACTCTAACAGTGGGACAATCAACAAAATTCCTGACTGGTACTTCTCAAAAGTTTCATTCATCAAAAACAAAGAAGGGGGAAGGAGGGGAAAAAATGAGGAGCTGGGGCCAGGAGCTTAAGTGGAGAGCAAATGTTTTGAGAATGATGAGAGCAATGAATGTACAAATGTGCTTTACACAATTGATGTATATATGGATCATAAGAGTTGTATGAGCCCCTAATAAAATCATTTTAAAAAAAAGAAAGAACAAAAAATTAACAAAAAACAAAAAGGGGTGAGAAACTATTAAAGCCAAACAGAGCCTAAAGAGTCCTAATGATTACATGTGATGTGCACTGTACACTATCTTTGATAGGATACTAAGACAGAAAACGGACATTAGATAAAAAATTATGGTGATCTGAATACAGCATGGGGTTTAGACAAAAGATTGAGAATGTTTGCTTTTCCTGCTACTCTACTAAAAACTTTTGCCAAGAAAAAGTATTTGCTCAATGTTATCAAATATTTTTCATACATCTAGGTTTTATATATATGTAGTTCTCTAATTTCTTAATGAAGTGAATCATGTACATAGATTACTTAATATTAAATCATTCCTGGAATAAACATGACTTGACCAGGAAAATTTTTGTTGGTATGACAGTACATTTGTAAGTTAGTATTTTGTACAGACGGTTCCACTTATATTTTTATAGGAAAGATTGAATTGTAATTTTCCTTTCTATCATAATTTTCTACGCCATGATGCCCTTCACTATCAAAGACATGCTAACTTCATATTAGGAATTAAGGCATTTTCCTTCTTTTATTATCTCTTGATGAGATTATAGAAGATTAAAATGATCTATTCTTTGCGAGTTTAGCAGAAATCACTAACAAAACCACATAGATTTGGTGCACTGTATTTAGAAGAGTTAAATTACAGATTAAAATTTCACTAAGGTGAAGACAAACGGGTGCATAAGCAAAAGTGATGAAGAAAGCTGATGGTGCCTGGCTATCAAAAGATATAGCATCTCGGGTCTTAAAAGCTTGATGGTAAACAAGCGGCCATCTAGCTCAGAAGCAACAAAGCACGCATGGAAGAAGGACACCAGGTGTTGAAGGGATCAGGTATCAGGCATCAGAAAACAAAAACTCAAATCATCCTGAATGAAGGGGAGTGCAGATAGGGGACCCACGACCCATCTGTAGGCAAAACTGGACATTCCCCTTACAGAAGGGTCTCAGGGAACAGATGAGCCAGTCAGGGTGCAGTGTAGCAACGATGAAACATACAACTTTCCTCTACTTCCTAAATGCTTCCTTTCCCCCCACTATCATGATCCCAATTCTACTTTACAAATCTGGCTATCCTGGAGGATGTACACTGGTACAGATAAGAACTGGAAACACAGGAAATCCAGGACAGATGATCCCTTCAAGACCAGTGGTGAGAGTGGAGCTACCAGGAGGGTGGAGGGAAGGTGAGGTATAAAGGGGGAACCGATTACAAGGATATATATATATAAACTCCTACCTGGGGGATGGATAACAGAAAAGTGGGTGAATGGCGACATCGGACAGTGTAAGATATGACATAATAATAATTTATAAATTATCAAGGGTTTATGAGGGAAGGGGAAGCGGGGAGGGAGGTGAAAAAAATAAGGAGCTGATACTAAGGGCTCAAGTAGAAAGAAAATGTTTTCAGGATGATGGCAACAAATGTACAAATGTGCTTGACACAATGGATGTGTGTATGGATTGTGATGAGTTATACAAGCCCCCAATAAAATGATTAAAAAAATTTTTTTTCACTAAGGTATAGTACTATCTAGGCTTTCTAAATCTTTAGGAGTTGCTTCTTTTCATTACATTTATCCAATTCATTAACATTTTATATATGTTAGCATGCCTATTTTATGCTACCAGCCTCCTCTCCATCTATATAGAACATCTTTGCATGCATTAGTATTTTACCGTTTTTTGGTGGAAGTTTACACAAGTTTCCACCGGACAATTTCCACCCAGTGTTTGCTGACAGTAGTCATATTTTCACCACGTGCCAACCTTTTCTTCTAATTGTGTTCTAGGTGTTCATTTCCAATAATTCAGTTTCCCTGAGCCCTCATCTTTCTTTCCTTTCAACATTGACCTTATAGTCTCATAGAGCTGATTTTTTTCAATAAAGTACCGTACTTACAAGTAACTTTTGTGTGCTACTTGATTCTGCTAAATGGTGGTCTTAGGGGATAGTTTTGAATCCAGTCTAAAGAATATCCAGAGCAATAGTCTCAGGGAATCCACTGGTCTCAATTGGTCCAGTTAGTCTGGCCCTTTCTAAGAATTGTGATTTTGTTCTACATTTTTCTCCCGCCTACTGTGACCACCTAATTCTAATTTCCACGTAGATAAGGTCATGGCTTGTTTGGGCTATCAACCTTATAAACTACTTGTTTATTTTGTTTGGGTTACCTTACTCTTTTCGCTCCTAATCACTGTAGACGGATTAATTCTGTCTTAGATAGCCATTCACCAGCTTTTAACACCTCAGATGCTCTTCACTTCACTAGGAAGTAAAACATGAATTTAGCTCTCTCTATATATAAACTGACTTGAGTTGTCCCATGAGACCACAGTCCTAAACTTTCAAACCAAAAACCCCCATAATCTTGGAAGGTGCTTGCTTATATCTGAGGAGTACCTTATCGTATCTTCAATGAATTGAAGTCTCTGTACACAAATACCTGTATTTGCATATATAGAGAAATACTTTTATCTGGTTTCACGTATGTATGTAATTGTACCTCCTTGTATACCTCTATGCCATATACCCAACTGTATGTGATCATACACTCATTTTGTTGTCATTCTTGGAGCTGTTGCCATACTGTCAAATTCTTTAGTGCTTCCCTTCTCCCCTCCATGATAATCACCAGTGAACATTAATCTCTTGATATATTATCTATTCTTTTCTTATAAAAATGGGATAATTCTTGTTTGTTGTTGTTCACTTAGCAGTATCCCCCTCCATGTCCATATACACCATTTACAGATTCACCATTGTTCTGTTTCTCTAATATTTTATGTATGTACAAAGTACGTAGGCAGTTTTTTTCCTTTCCAGTACTGATGGTTCATAATGCTACAATAAACATAGCTGGCACATTTCTTTTATTAGAAACCAAAGATACAAAAATGAACTGCTGGGCCAGAGTAGCACCATTTCAAGTTCCTAGAGGACATGCCAAACCATATCCCTTAGTGGTTGTACAGTCCCACCAGCAATGGATTAGGGTTCTAATCGCCTCACCGCCCCAACATTTGTATCATTGTCCCTTTGTTATGGCTGTAATTAATTATGTGCTAGAGCTGAGATTATGTTCCCCTCAGTATTTATTTATTCTCTCTCACTTAACAATCCAACTTTTGGCTATATTTTCACCCCAATTTCTTTAATTGACAGTATGTAGTCTGTGGTTCTTTTTCTAACTTAAGCTCGATCCTTAGCTCATGAATAGTCAGTCTTTGTTCTTTTCTAATTAATGCCTGTAAATTTTCTTCCAATTACTACTGGAAACTACAAGTTCCAGATGTACTATTTTCACTCATTAAAAAATATTTTTAAATTCCATTATGTTTCTTTCTTTCTCTTTTAAGTGTTTCTTGCTGTAAACAATGAGTTATTTAAGCTTTCATATTTCGAAATGTTTTGGTAAAAAGCAAAGATAGTGTTCTAGGTTTGTTTGCATTAAACAGGCAGCATATTGTATCCTAAGCATCAAGAATGAAACTCCTATTATTTTGGCTTTAGACACATAATTTCTATTTTAGACAGACTGTGTTCTGACCACAGCATTCCTGCATTTACTCTGTTAGTGCTGTTTTAGGTTTTATGTTTTATTTGGTAATATTTGAAGGATTATTTTTTATGTCTGGGAATGCTCAGAAAATTTCCCGATATATTAATGCCAAGTTTGTCGTAGTGTCTGCTTATGACAAGTTTCTTTGGAATACTCTACTTTCAGATAGCAGAAAAACCATACTTGTATGCATTTTGTTACATCCCAATCTTCATTATGAGATTAAGCTTAGTAAATGATCCATAACATAGAAGAGACATGAGTATTTGAGTTAATTAACCCAAGAACTACAAGAAAGTTACCGAAGTGTCCCTTTATTTTTAAAAGAAATAATATTTACCCTAAGTACAATTTAAATTAAAAAGGTCCCCATTTTCCACCGAATAGCATATCCAGACATACATACACTTACTTGAACAAATACTTTGCCCACACGATGCAGTGAATAGGCTCTGAAGGTGTGTTACGGATTGTACAGCCAGGAAAAGTTCTCTGGGTTGGTTTAGGGTGACATTCATAACACTCGGTTACACCCTGCCAATTTAGAAAATGAGGAAAATAGTTCACGATGGTTTCTCAACATTATAGGGCAATATAATCATAAAACTTTATTCATTCATCTTTATTTCAATCGGATTTCATATTGGCAAGAAAGCACGAAACTACTGGTAATCCCCAAAACACTGTTTTACTGGTTAGAAAACTCTACCACAAAAGCTAATTGTATTGACCATAGTCACAGGTAAAGACTGAGCCAGGATTCCCTTAAGTCCTGGTCCAGTGAAAATTAGACCAAACAAAATAAAAACCACTGCATCTGAATGTCAAATATGACAAAAAAATTTTCAATTGCTCTAGACAGAAAATCTACTAGAAAAATGTCTTCTTGAATAACCTCAAAAAATGGTGAAATATAGTTATTTAGATATAGCTATCTCAGGGGAAGAACAACAGAAAATGTGGGCGAAGGGAGACAGTGGATGGTGTAAAATATGAAAATAAAAATAATTTATAAATTATCAAGGGTTCATAAGGATGGGGGAGGGAGGGGAAAAAAAGGAACTGCGGTCTTATGTTTGTGCATATTGTTGTCTCTGCATGTCTATCTATCTGGATGGGATAGGCGGAATAAACAAGCCGGAAGAGAGAACAATGGGACGACAGTTCTAGGGGGACATGGGAGAGGGGGAGGCGGGGGGAAAAGGAAGTGCGTGTTAACAAAAAACTACTGTCTTGGCCTATCAGCAGATCTGAAAATGTCTCTATTCATTCAACTAAATTTAACTAACATAACCAGTCTACAACATCCTTTGTAGAACACTAAATAAACTTTCCAGGGTAACATTTAAAAGTTAAAATAAATGGAGCCACAATTTTCAACATAAACTGCCAAAATTAGACCATACAAATTTTAAGTATAATTCCCTTTTTCCATAGCTTCAAAACCTACAATAAAAATTTAAAACTTATTCATGTTTAATTTCACAAAAGAGAACTAAACAAGCAAACAGGTTAAAATGTTCAGTCTTTATAAAACTGGGCTATAAATACACACATGTTCATGCTAACCATTCTTGAGTTTTATTGAAATATTTCAAATACCCCAGAAAGTTTTCAAGGTTTTCTTTAGATCACTAAATGCACCCATCTTCATACATCAAATAACTTTTTTTAGAACTCTGCTCTATCAATTATAGTGTGACATGTAGTCTGGTACATGGCTACAAAAGAATACTAAAAGGAGAATGTATTAAGTTTACCAGCTTGTGAAAATTGGACAAAGAATAAGGAATCCTGAGGAAGAATTGATGCATTTGAATTATGGTACTGGTTAAAAATATTGAAAAGTACCACAGATTGTCAAAATAACAACCAAATCTGTGTTGGAAGATTGCTACTTGAAAGTGGGAATGGTGGGACTGTCTCACATAGCTTGCGACATGGTCTCAGGAAGGACCAGTACCAGTCTCTATGGAAGACATCACGCTTGCGTAGAAGGTCAGTGAACAAAGAGGCTCCAACAAGGGGTTCACACAGCTAAAATAAGAAGACAGCGTAGTGTTTTACTTGTTGTGCATGGAGTCACTATGAGTCGGAACAGACACGATGGCACCTGACAACAAGTTTTAAAATCTTGTCTTGAGTTTCATACAAAACTGGAAATTTATGCCTTTCTCCTCCTAATAAATAAAAGGTCCTAATAAATATTTAGGAAGAAACAAACAGAATGTCCATTACCTTTTTGATGATAGTTACTTGTCCAAGATAACCGGCAGTTCCACTCTCAATAAGAGGCACATCAGCTGCCAAACACATCCTATTTACATGGTTGCGGGCAGCTAGAAGATAAATAAACATCAGGAAGCAAATAGTTTTATGTGATTTGGGGTGGGGTGCTACATATGACCTAGAATTATCTTTGATTACGATGGCATTCACCTAAATTTCTTATTGCCATTACCTGTGTGCAATTTCCTTACAGCTATAAATCAGAGTAATACAATTCTTTACTATTATCAAAAAACAGACATTTATTTGGGCAATTTTTAAGCAAAAGGATTGTCATATATTTATACCCACACACAAACACACACTCCTGCAACAAAAACAGATCTTAAATTCCAAAGTGTCATTTCTTCTACTTCTGCTGTGCCTACTCTATCTTAGTCTGGTCTAAAACATTGTTCCAATGCCTTCAGAGTCCTTAGCCCATTGCCATGGAGTCACAGAACTATCCCCATGTTGTAATACCTATTCCACCACACGGCCATGTCTTTCTCCTGTAGTGGCTGGTCGGTTCCAACAGCCTCCTTTCAATTAATGATAAGGGCCTTAACCACTGTGCCAAAATGGTTCCTGTTCAGAGTCCCTAACTTGCTATTATTCTAACATAATCATCAGGTAACACATGACAAGGTGGGATAGTGGTGATGCATACTGCTAACTGCAAGGTCAGCAGTGAAAACCCACCAGCTGCGCCACAGGAGAAAGAGGCTTTCTACTCCCTTAACGCTCTAGTCTTGGAAATCCACAGGGGTAGTTCCATCCTGTCCCACAGGGTTTATGAGTTGAAACTGATTCAACACAACAGTTTAAAGCTCATGGAAAAAAGATGAGTCAGACTAAGAGACTCATGCTACTTCATGTCTTTTCTTATTGCATCAGGCCCAAAATGGTTAACTTGAACATAATTAACAGACATTCTTTTACACATGAAAGTAACTGTGCACAACAAATGTACCTACTATAGTTCACTCCCACATTCTAGGCACACAGATAACATAGGCAGATAAATCAAAAGGTATGGTTGCTAGTGGTCCAGTACAACCAAGCATGGGTTTGTTCCAAACATCTTTCTGTGATGGTTATAGACACCTGCTCTCAAGTAACATACTTGACTTAAGAGTCCTACAGAGGTGCTTTCAAAAAAAAGTTCAATCAAACAACAGGGCTTCCACAGGGACCTGATGGGCCGGCTGAATTCAAGGCAGAGGTCAGCTGAGAAGGTTGTGCTGACTGATCTTTGGGTCTCCAAAGGTTCACATTGATAGATTTTCTTGAAAGATATAGGACGATCACAGAGGTTTGAGAAAACAGAAAGCTGCAATGGTGAGAAAAGAGCCAGGAAATGTGCACCAAGGAATGTTTTCCATCATGACACTGCACCTCCTCATTCTTCAAGGGTAGCAAGAGCAGTCCTTAAGAATTTCACTGGGAAACCATACCCACCTACCCTACAGCCCTAACCTGCCCATTCAGTCTTCTTTCAGTTCCCCAAATGCAAAGAAGATTGAAAAAGAACACGAGTCCCCTGAGGATACTAAAACTGCCATTTTGACACGGCATCAATCAAAAAAGCACAAAATTTGGGGGAAGGGTTATAGATGGAAAACCCCACCTTTAGAAGTGCATAGAACTAGAGGATGGGTGTAGCAAGACACAACTGTGTCACATTTTGATATTCTGGTTAATCAAGAGTTCTAAGATTTTGTGGCAATACATTTTGACTTACTGATATGAAACACTATACAATACCAGGAAAAGCTTAAAAGGTCTAAAATGCATATATATCTACTAGAATTCAGTCTCTTAAAGGCACCAAAGTCATTTGAAATATTTTATGAGAGGTATGGCTAATATGAACATTCTGTCATCTCATTGCCAAAACAGTTACTTTTCTTTTTTTAAACAGTGATTTTTCAACCCTGGCAACACTTTAGATTTGGGGTCTTTAAAGGGTGTGTGGAGTGGGGGCTGGGGCTGATACCAAGGACTCAATATAAAGCAAACGTTTAGCAAATAATGACGGTAGTCAGGGTGGTGCAGTGTAGCAACAATGAAACATACAACTTTACTCAGTTCTTAAATGCTTCCTCCGCCGCCGCCCGCCCCTCCTCCACTATCTCGATCCCAATTCTACTTTACAAATGCGGCTAGACCAGAGGATGTACACTGGTACAGATAGGAAGTGGAAATACAGGGAATCCAGGACAGATGAACCCTTTAGAATCAGTGGTGATAGTGGCAATAACAAGAGGGTGGCGGGAAGGTGAGGTGGAAAGGGGGAACTGATTACAGGGATCTACATATAACCTCCTCCCTGGAGGACAGACAACAGAAAAGTGGGTGAAGGGAGACGGACAGTTTAACACATGACAAAATAATAATTTATAAATTATTGAAGGTTTGGGGGGAAAGGGGGTAAAATGAGGAGCTGATACCAAGGGCTCAAGTAAAATGCAAATGTTTTGAGAATGATGAGGGCAGTAAATGTATAAATGTACTTGACACAATATATGTATATATGTATGTATTGTGATAAGAGTTGTATGAGCCCCCAATAAAATGATCTTTTTTAAACAGTCAAAATCCCACCCAAACCTGAGCATTAGTATTTTTAGTTTTCCACATAAAAAAGTCACACTATATTTAAGTGCTCAAATAATATGAAACATACACAAAGAGACACATAACATAACCTATGTATCAAGCTCTTTAAATGTACCCTGCTTACCTTTTGATAGAATAGCAAAGTATTGGGATAGTTCACTTCCTGCTGGGAGCAAACCAATTCTAAGTAAAACTACATGCAGTCTATTGGTAACCTTTAAATCCAATCTTTTCTTTATGCCTGTAAATTCCAACTCATAAGCAAATATTTTGATAAATACTAAGTTTTAAAATGGCCTTGATATGGGAAAGGGAAAAAACTTCAAGATGCAAATATTAAAATACTCTCACCTCTGTTATCTAAAGCATTCATAACTAATATAAACTGTCGAAAAAATTCCACATTATAGTCAGGGCTGTAAAACAAAACAAAACAACTTGTTGATACATTATCTTTACAGCATAATACAGGGTTCAAAAATGCTTTAAAAATGATAAAAATAACTATTATTAAAGGGGTCTACTATAAAGATAATAAGGCTCGATTTTTCCCCACCCTAAACATGGTATGCAGGTTTTTAAAAAATCATTTTCCCCAAATTCCTACAAGTGACTACACATCCTTTCGGGCCAGCTACCTATGGTCCAAGAACAAGATCTCAAACTGGTAGAATGGCATGCCTTCATTAGTTCCACCAAGCCTTCTCTGGGCAGCAAGTGACTGGGAACACACAAAAAATACATTCCCAGGATCTGGCTGACCTCTGGCTTCACTTCATATGGTCAGGGCTAAGGCCCCTAGGGTCCCTACTTTTAGTAGCACAGGGCTGTAGGGCTAGACACAAGCTTGCAGAACAAACATCCAGAGATGAAAAAATAAGTTGGGGATAGAAATTCCTGAAGATTTTTCTAGCCCAGTATACCAAACAAGGAGTAGGTATTTTTAGGACCATTTAACTTTTGAGCTAGACCACAATAATTTAGGTCCATGGTCCATTTACCCCAACACCTATAAAACCAAATGTTTATACTGCAGCTCTTCACTAAGATCATACTGCATTTAAGTACTGTGAAACTACTAGCCCACCACAATTCCTTGTGTTATATAAAAGAAGTCAAAGTGTTTTTAAAAAACAAGAGTATCTGGGGAGAGAGTCTTTTGAAATGTAGAAAGCTGAAAATGGCCAGCTTGAGAGAAATATATTTAGAAAAGTCTGAATCATCACATATTAGTATTTCATAGTTTTAATATCCTCTTTAAAACAATACAAAATCATCCATGTAACCTATTTCATAAATTCTAATCTCTTACCTAAGTAATCAATCTTTACACAGGAGTATAATCCTGTACAAACTGTCAAAAGAATGCCATTCATGTGAGAACATAAGAATATCTTTTATTTAAGAACTGTTAATTCCCAAACCATAGCAAACCATAATTTTACATTAATGAGAGCCTACCTCATGATGCTGTCATGGTAGGCTGTGATATTAGCTTTTGGGTAAAACTGTAGCACACTTTCTTTGGCAACCTGGACAAAACAAACAACACTAAATTACTAAAAGTACAAGATTTCAATCTGTATTTGGAATCGACTTCTGACAGAAACAATACTCTTACTTCTTATTAAGCAAGCTATTAGAACTTCTTGTTTCTATATAGATACTTTAATAGTATCTTACATGAAAAACTAAAAAAAACCCAAATTAGTTAGGATTAAGTAATACACTCAATTATAAAATAATAGGAGCCTATCATATACACTTGTGTATGAATGTGCGCTTCACCTAAAATAAAAGGCACAGAAATGGGCAAAAGAGACACCAATCCACCTTAATATTAAGTACAAACTATTGAAAAGTCGTATATAGGAAAAATAGTGGTTGTTATACAAAGAAGCGCTGATAGTCTAGAAGGTTTAGGCATGGAAAAATAAGCCAAAATATAAAAAATGAAAAGGAGAAACAAATGAGTTTGCCAAAGGGGCAGGGACACAGGCAAGAGAAAAAAAGATGTTTGAAGACCCCAAATCATGAAAGTCCATTGAAGGATGAAGAATGGCTCGAGTCTCAAAGGAGGCTACCTGCTTTTAAAGGCAGTAACAGTATATAGGGTCAGTTTTCAGACCCCCAAATATAAGGGTTGCCAACCACCATAGAATCTGTATTACTTGAATATAAAGGGGACACACACGAACACATAGAGGACCCAAAAGCCATATTATTTTCTCTGTAGAACAAACCAAGACATGCATTAGAAATTTTGTTTTTTTAATTCTCTCAGCTAACTAGAGAGTGTCTTTAATTTTCTCCATCTTATTGGAGAGCCAGAACTAATCTGGTCTAAAAAGAACATGTGGCAACAGGTTATTTTATGTTTAAACTATGCTTTTCACTAAGATCATACTGCATTGAAGTACTGTGAAACTACTAGCCCACCCCAATTCCTGTGTTATATAAAAGCCAGAGTGATAATAAACAAGAGTATCTGGGGAGTCTTTTAAAATGTAGTTCAAAGAAACTGTTATGAGAAATAGTTACCTGTGCCTTTGATCTTCCAACATGTTTCTTTTGAAACAAAAACTGTCTGTTGAGATTGCTGACATCAATAGTATCCAGATCAATCTACAAATGAAAAAAAAAAACAAAAAAATCTGGATAAATCATACATTGTCTTATTTGAGCAATATCTCTACCATCTATAACCCAGAACTGATAATTTACATTAACAGAGGATAAGCTTTTAGAACCAATCATATCAAAATTATTAACTTGATCAAAATAATTTCCTGATACATATGAGGCTAAGTAAAAAAAATTATTGCTACTGAGGTTCCAGTTTATTTATGCACAAACTATTGCAAACAAAACTTGCTTAAATATGTCCATGATTAGTGGATGACTGCAAGCAAGCTCTCAACACACTTGTCTTAGTTTCATGAAGGTGCCTTCCAAAAACTGTAGAGTCGAAACAATGGCTTCTGAGGAGAGATAGGCAGAGAAAGAGGTAACTCAGAAGTTATGGCATCTTTGTTTTGGGCGCTCCAAAATGGGTGTTTTAATACTTTTCTGAGGGTAATCATGGCGGCATAGTACGAAGTAGTTCTAAGAATCGGAAAAAGGCCAGGAAAGGTGCATCAAACTTTTTTTTTTTGACAGCTATGCACATACCTGCTCTTAATTTGAGTGTAGTAGCAAAGGTTGTTCCACAAAAATTCTGTTGGGAAATCTTATCTCAGCCAATCTACACACCTGATCTTAGGCATCCAGATTTATTTCTGTTCCTTCAAAGAATATAGAAAAGGAACACAATTTAAGTCCCTAAGGAAGCCAACACTGGCATTTTGACGTGGTATAAATTAAAGAGCACAGATTTCTTTGGGGGAAGGATTAAACCAAAAAACAACCAACACACCACTGCCATGAAGTCAATTCCAACTCGCAAGGACCCTATGAGACTGTAAATCTTTATAGGGCAGTTTCAACTTCCTCGTGTGGCACAGCTGGTTGGTTTAAACTGCCAACCTTGTGGTTAGCAACCCAGGATCAACAGGGCTCCTTGGGGGAAAGGTTAGAGAGGTGAATAGAGAGTATACCAAGAAACAATAAATTTTAGATTGACATTTTTATTTAATAAGGTTTTATGCTTTTAGAGCACACTTTTGGACTTAACCTGCACAAGTACATTGAAATGGAATTAAATGAATGACTTTTCAATTCCACTGTAGGGTAGATGGGATACGGCTTTCATATGACACAGCATTTGCTACCTTCAGAGAATAAGCAGGCACATTGTTGTGATGGAAAAAAGCATTTCAGTCCAACTTTCCTGGCTTTTCTCTCACCAACACGGTTTTCCATTTTCTTAAAACTTCGTAATTCGTCCTCTTATTATGATTATCCTATGTCCTATAGGGTCGCTGAGTCAACATCAACTCCATAGCAGCGAGTTTACCAATATGACTATTTTGGGGTCCCCCAAAATAGTTGGCATAACCTTCACTGATGACCTCTGTGCCTGGAAAGGAACTAGCCTCAGCAGATCTTCTTGGAAGCCACTTCGATTGGATCTTGTTCTTTAGATCATATCAATCGAGCTAAGACTCATCTCTGCTTGTAACACTTTTGGAACCAACTGAGCTCAAAGTTTGCTGAGGCCAATGTCCACGTAATATGTCAAGACACATGAGTTCCCAACTTAGCAGCCATCACATCAATGGTCATTCTAACTGCCTTCTACCAGTTTGTAGACTCCAGCCAGTTCCTTCATCTGTCAAACTTGGTCATCTTCTTATGTGAGGCAGCATTTCTGTAAACTGTTGCAATACTGCAATAATTTGGGAAGATGTCCACATGAGCTTTGTTAAAATTTCAGTATTTGCCCTGATCTCACTATCATTTTATCCCATAGAACAAAAGTTAACTGTTTTTAAGAAGGCAACTAATGAGACTAAGATATGAGAGAATATATCTGCAGCTATTAACTGATTGCAGAGACATGTTTAAACACATTTGGATAAACCCATGCATGTATGAAGTGGAAGCCTAGTAGCAGTATTTTGAATTATTCTTTTAAAAGTAAGCAAATATTAATGTTAAACATCTCAATGTTTGGTTAAAATCTGTGAAAAATCATTCCAACATATTACTACCTAACATGTTTCTAACTTACACTTTCTAAATTTAGCATAAAACTTTAAAAAACACTAAAAAAAAAACACCTTAAAAAACAAACAAAAATACCAAATTAAACACTGTTGGTTCCAACTCAGAGCCACCCTACAGAACAATGTGGAACAATTCCTTAGGATTTCCAAGACTATAAATCTTTAATGGAACAAATAGTTTCATCTTTCTTCCTTAAGAAGACTAGTGAATTTGAACTGCCAACAGCCCAACATTTACCTAACAGTGCCACTGGGCACTTTTAAAATAAAAACGATCAATTCTATTATCAATTTAAACATTTAAAGATTAGAGATGTTGTCGGAACTTGGATGTGAATTTAAAATGTCTTAAGGGGTAGGGAAAATATGAAATAAAAAAAGGAAAAGAAAAAAATTATTGGCAAACTTTAATATTCAGTCCATGGGTATATAGAATTAATGTATTTTTCCTTTGGTGTTTACATGGCTCACAATCAATTTTGTATCACATATATGATTAATATATGCCTAACAGAACCATTTTAAATTTGAAAAACTAGTGAATTTGGATACCTGGAAAACTAATACTTATCCCCTAGGGAAATTACAGAGGCACCCTATTAAGTACAAAAGTGGAAACAAGGTAAACAAACGGCCATCTAGTTCAGAAGCAACAAAGCCCACATGGAAGAAGCACACCAGCCTGCCTGAACACGAGGTGCTGAAGGGTCAGTTTTCAGGCAACAAAGAACAAAAAATCATATCATTGTGTGCTCACCTCCCATATACGATTGCTGAAGACAAATGGGTGCATAAGTAAATGTGGTGAAAAATGCTGATAGTGCCTGGCTATTAAAAGAGATAGCGTTTGGGATTTAAAGACTTAACGGTAAACAAGCGGCCATCTAGCTCAGAAGCAACAAAGCCCACATGGAAGAAGCACACCAGCCTGTGCGATCACAAGGTGTAGAAGGGATCAGGTATCGGGAAGCATCAGAACAAAAAATCACATCATTGTGAATGAGGGGGATTGTGGGGTGGAGACCCAAAGCCCATCTGTAGACAAATGGACATCCCTTTACAGAAGGGTCTCAGGGATTGTGCAGTGTAGCACCGATGAAACATACAACTTTCCACTAGTTCCTAAAGCTTCCTCCCCACCCCCCTATCATGATCCCAATTCTACCTTACAAATCGGGCTAGACCAGAGGATATACACTGGTACAGATAGGAACTGGAAACACAGGGAATCCAGGGCAGATGATCCCTTCAGGACCAGTGGTGAGTTTGGCAATACCGGGAGGGTGGAGTGGAAAGGGGGAACCGATTACAAGGACCTACATAAAACCTCCTCCCTGGGGGACAGACAACAGAAAAGTGGGTGAAAGGAGACGTCGGACAGTGTAAGATATGACAAAATAATAATTTATAAATTATCAAGGGTTCATAAAGGAGTATGGAGGGAGGGGGAAAATGAAGAGCTAATGCCTGGGGCTTAAGTGGAGAGGAAATGTTTTGAGAATGATGAGGGCAATGAATGTACAAATGTGCTTTACACAATTGATGTAAATATGGATCGTGATAAGAGTTGTATGAGCACCTAATAAAATTATTACTTTTAAGTGGAAACATTAATGTATATGCATATAAACTACTAAGAACAGAATGACAGACATGCTCAGAGAATACTAAAACAGTGAGCCTGTGGTAGAAATATCTCCAAAAATGCTCACTTTACTTATGGTACACATTTTACTGTCATTGTTTTGGTTCAATAAAAATTTCATGTCATACTCAAACAAGAAAAAGATCCCTAATAAGTCCACAGACCATTATCCCTAAGAAAGTAAATGTAAGAATCTTTAAAAGTTATCAGGCAAACAGAACCCAGCAGCATATTATAAGTCATACATTATGACCAAGTGGGATTTATTCCAGGAATGTGGGGATGGTTCCACACTATAAAATCAATTTAACAAACCATATTAATAGAAAAAAATGAAAAGAACTACATGATCATCACTGTGAATGCAGAAAAAGCATTTTATAAAACCCAATAAAAAAACACAAAAAAAAACTTCAATACTATTTCTTAATGAAAATCCTCAAGAAGATTGAAACAGAAGTACTGTTCCTCAGTATGATTAAAGGCATATAAGAAAATTCAACAGTAAGCATATGGATAAAGACGGAGAACTTTCCTTCTGAAATTATGAACAGGTAAGGATGTCTGATCCTCCACTTCTATTCAAAATTGTATTAGAAGTCCTAGCCAGAGCAATAAGACAATAAATAAGAAAGGTATCCAGATTGGAAAAGGAGTAAAACCGTCTTTATTTGAAGATGATATGATCCTATATGCAGAAAATCTCAAATACCGCATATACTCAAGTATAAGTCAACCCAAATATCAGCTGGGGCACCTAATTTTACCACAATAACGGCATAAATGTGCTGAAAACTCAGCTTATACACGCGTATATATGGTAATCCATAAAAAATTACTAATGCTACCCTTTCCAGCCTGGTCCCGGCGCTATGGCTCCCGCGAAGAAGGGCGGTGAGAAGAAGCAGGGCCGTTTGGCCATCAGCGAGGTCGTGAGCAGAGAGCACACCATCAACATTCACAAGTGCACCCGTGGCGTGGGCATCAAGAAGCGTGCCCCTCGGGCGCTCAAGGAGATTCGGAAGCTTGCCATGAAGCCCGATGTACGAATCGACACCAGGCTCAACAAAGCTGTGTGGGCCAACGGAATCAGGAATGTTCCATATCGTGTCCAGGAAACCTAATGAGGATGAAGATTCCCCAAACAAGCTCTACACATTGGTTATCTATGTGCCTGTCACCACTTTCAAAAACCTACAGACAGTCAACGTGGATGAAAACTAGTGGCTGGTTATCTAATAAAGGTTTTAAAGTGCCAAAAAAAATTTACTAATGCTAAATAGAGGAATTTAGCAAAATTGCAGGGAATAAAG